AATAACATGCATTTGATCTGCGCATCAAGACGGAAGCGTAAGTGAAAACGTTGTGAAATGTCCCATGTGTACCTGCATCATATGTGCATTATACATGTATTAAAGAGATGTTTGAAAAATATCCGATTTGAGTTGTTTTATGTTTGAAATGAATGGCGATAAATTATTTAAGAGCATGTGAGAAACATGAGCGAGAGATGCAAGCCAGTTTGTAATTATAGAAAAGGAAAACAGAGAATCGGGTTCGGATTTTAATAATCCTGACCGAAATAGGTATGGAATATGTGTGTGGATTAAATTCATTGTAAGTAGCATAAATAAATTCCAAATAGGTATTTCTAGATGTGAAACACAGGGAACAAATGTGTATTGCTTTTTACTATGTTGAAAGCCGCTATTTCTTATAAGATTGTGTTATTCTAGAAAAAAAAAAATCAAATTTCAAATGAAATCAAGATTCATTCAATTAATATTAAATCTAAATAAAATTGAAATAAATTCCACATAGCAAAGAAAGCTAGAATACTTGGTATTAAAATGTCGTATTAGAGCAGGAGAATCGAATGATATTAGCAACAAATGAAGAAATAGCCAATGCAAGCTTTAATTTATTTTATGCCCATCAGAATTTAAATTTCAGACAGAAACAAATGCAGTTTTTGCCGATATTCCGTAGAATTTCACTAAACTCAAGAGACTCACCTTAAAACTCTTAGGACACTTTCTTTAAGGTGTCTACTACTCAAATCCTTTATCTTATGTCGATCTGTGGTGTCTTTTCAGAGGTAGAAGTTTTTTCTATGTTGCTATTGATTTTTTTCTAGGGACGGGAGGGGGGGGGGGGTTTAATAAGCATTTGTTAAAATGAGAGTTGTTAATACCTGCACAAACTTAAGCTTGATTGTGACCTTTGGGTCAATGGGGGTCAAAAGTCAAGGTCATTATCAAGGTCAAAGGTCAAGGTCATCAAAAAGAGAGAGAGAGAGAAAGAGAGATATTAACTTGAGATTAACACTTGAAGCTGAATCTAGATAAAGGTAATGAATGTTTCTTTATTACTTTTTGAGTAAGGGTCAAAGGTCTCATTTTGAGGACAAGAAATCACATGACCTGAATAAAGTAAATTTTAAAAGAAGATATTTGAGGTTACTCTAGACATTTGCAGTCTGAATAAAATGTCCCAAAATCATATCAAATACTTTCTTATCAAAGATATGTATGGGATAGTGCGATACTCAATTTATGCAATTTTTCTCTCATAATTGAAAGTCGTCGTTTTTCTTACCAGTGGGACTACATATCTCGAAACTACAAGTAAGATGCTATAAGGTAACACTAAGAAAAATTCCATTAAGAAAAATTTAAAATTTTGATTTATTTGATCACTTCCTGTGACAACCGGAAGTGACGGCGGACAATCTTAAACTCAAAAGATGTATCAACTCATCAAGGCCTACCATCCCTATTAATTTGGTGTCTTAGTCTCTTACCGTTTACGAGATCTAGCTATGATAACTTCTGATTTTGAGGACAGGAAGTCACGCGACCGGAAGTGAATTTTAATGAGATATTAGACATTACTGTAGACATTTGCAGTCTGAATAACATATCTAAAAATCACTACAAATACTATAACTATAAAAAAATTTTAAGGGAAAGAAAGATACTCAAATTATGTAGTTTTCCTCTTTTAACCGGAAGTTGTCATTTTGTTTCCGTTGGGACTGATACATTTCGAAACTTCAAATAAGATGCTATAATGTGATGCAAAACAAGTTTCAAAAAAGAAAAGTTGATTTTTTTTTAATTTCTTTGATCACTTCCTGTGACGACCGGAAGTGACGGCAGACAATCTTACCCCAAATAGTTTTGCCTACATATCAAGATATATTACTCATACAAGTTTGGTGTCTTAATCTTTTACTGTTTACGAGATCTAGCTATGATAACTTCTGATATTGAGGACAGGAAATCATGCGACCGGAAGTAAATTTTACTGAGATATTATACATTACTGTAGACGTGTGTAGTCTGCATAAAATATCCAAAAATCATTACAAATACTTTATCTATTAAAAGAATTTATGGGAAAGAAAAATACTCAATTTATGTAGTTTTTCTCCTTGAACCGGAAGTTGTCATTTTTGTTTCCGTTGGGACGGATACATTTCGAAACTACAAATAAGATGCTATAATGTAATGCAAAAAAAGTTTCAATAAAGAAAAGTTGAATTTTTCGATTTCTCTGATAACTTCCTCTGACGACCGGAAGGGACGGCGGACGATCGTACTCCAAATGGTTTTGCCTCCTAATCAAGATCTACCACTTGTATAAGTTTGGTGTCTTAATCTCTTTCCGTTTACGAGATCTAGCTATGATAATTTCTCATTTTGAGGACAGGAAATCACGCGACCGGAAGTGAATTTTACAAAGATATTTGACGTTACTGTAGACATTTGCAGTTTAAATAACATATCCAAAAATCATTACAAATACTTTATCTATAAAAACTATTTATTGGAAAGAAAAATACAGAAAAAATGCAGTTTTTCTCTTATAACCGGAAGTTGTCGTTTTTGTTTCCGGTGGGACTGACATATTTCGAAACTACAAATAAGATGCTATAATGTGATTCAAAAAAAGTTTCATAAATGAAAAGTTAAAAATTTCAATTCCTTTGATCACTTCCTGTGACGAACGGAAGTGACGGCGGACAATCTTATCCCAAATGGACATGCCTACTAATCATGATCTATTACTCGTGTAAGTTTGGTGTCTTAATCTTTTACCGTTTCTGAGATATGACTCAGACAAAACTTTTTTGAAAAAAGCGGAAATCGGACATATCTGACGACCGGAAGTGAATTTTGAAAAACTGAAAACTGCATCTGAAAGATATTTTTACACTCTATCAACCCTGAAAATTTCATGAGAATCTGTCCTGTCATCTCTGAGAAATCGTGCTTTTAAAAAGGGAACAAAAATAATAATAGGAAAAAGAAAAAGAAAAAGAAACAGTAGAATCACTATAAGGTCTTCCGTCTGAAACGGAAGACCTTAATAAGAAACAGAGTAAAAACAATATGTTCCCAAACTCCGTTTGGGGAACATAATTAACGGTTGATGGGTCGAATTAATCTTGAAGAAGTAAAACACCATTTTTTTAAAGCAATATGAGCTGCAACTTTGAAATCAAAATTTTTTTTTGTAAATAACTACCAGGTGTAAGAGTCTGAACTAGGAACAGAATCCATTGCTAACCTTCGCTGCAGAACTGTAGCGTTATGACTTTAAGCATTAGTCTTTGACCATAACACTATAGATCCCCTGAAAGTTAAGGAATGTGGCTAAAACGAAGTGAAAGGTCTTTGACTGACTAATGCTGGGAGGTGAAGAAATTCTTCCCAATGATGCGCACAAAATCGCGCTCTGTAAATTACACTTTATTTGCATTAAGGGATCTGCGGCGTTTTCGTCGGAGACTAATTCAGTGGAAGTGTGTAACTTCATATTGAAACGCCATCACTTATCGGTGGCGGGCGTCATTTAGACCTAAACTTGACACTCAAGCCATTGATCAGTGAAGGATCTTTTTCGTTCCTGCACTTAGTGCGAAACGGGACTTCGGTTTATATGATCTCGTCCAAAGGATGGGTCTCTACGTCCCGCAATGGTATGAATCGAACCCGCAACGTAAGGATCAACTTCTTACTTCGCAATTTAAGAACTGCGTCACGCTGGCGACTATGACTGTTGAATGAATTACTTTTTATAAAAAATTAAAACAATGAAAAATCACATAACTTACTGGCATTCACGGTTGGTAGTCCGCATTGTAGAGCTGGCGTTTGCTCTAGAGTCGCAGTACAAGGAGTTGACCCTTATGTCGCTCGAATTCCACCGTAGGACGCTGAGACCGGTCCTTCGGATAAGACTGTAAAAACCGAGGTCTCGTGTCGAATTAGACCGGTGCTGGCACAAAAAAGGTTCCTCAGAGTACACGTTACATTGAAATAAGACAAACTCTAGGAGTAGCGTTTTGATAGAATTTCACAGAAATTGTGTTCATTAACCATGGCAACGCCCTTCAACATAATCAAAAACCGCTAAGGCCATGCAAAATTAATTACTTGGTTCTCAGGCCTTTTTTCAAGAAATATGATGAGGGAGGGAGGCATTTTTTTTTTCTTTTTTATTGCCCCCAAAACATGATGAGGCAGCTTTTTACATTGTACAAAACCTCAAAAAATGATGAGGGAGGTGATTTGGTATTTATATTTTATTGATTTAGCAATAAAAAGGGTCAATGAGGCACCCTTGGAAGAGATGAGGGAGGGCCTGAGAACCAAGAAATTAATTTTTTTTTGCCTAAATGGAATTATGTCTCAGTGAAGTCCAATTATTCTAATACTCGGGTATACACTGTATTAGAACAAAACAGTAGGAAAAATAGTATTTAAAATAATTTTCACAGAAATTTTTGTTACCATGACAACGCTGTTCAACAGGAACGAAAATATATGTTGTGTACCAAATTACATAAAAATGAACTTTAAACTGAAAGAAAAGAAACGTTTTGAAAGAATTTCAGAAAAATCATTTTTAGCAAACATAAATACATCTTTAAAATCGAAAATTGACAAAATTATGCATCTTTGTTCATTGTGTACCTATAAATTGTGTACCAAGTTATACATAAATTGGACCAATATGAAATCCTAAGCCAAACTTTCCTTTTCTGACACTTGCATGATGAAGGCACACTCCACAATGACATGCTCAAGTTGTTGCAAAATAGGTACAATCAGAAAGGGTCCAAAAAAATAACTGCCTTGTGATGTTGTCTAGAGTCCCTAGACACTACAACAGATGAACAAACTGGGCAGTATCCTACATAAGGACACCTGAATTCAATAAGGGAACACTTCACTGACAATGAAATACACCACTCCATACTGCTATCTTCTGTTGTTTTAGAATACCAATAAAAACATATCTGTTTGCTTTTTTTTTTTAATTTGGATTTTTTGTTTTTACACATATAAAAACTTGGTCTTGCTTTAGTCGAACAGACCTGAAATAGATAAAACAGAAAATTAACATTTGATTAATACCAGGAAGATTTATCAATCAGGTAATATGTTATTAAACTTACTCTTATGTCCTACATTTCAATCATTTTCCTATACACGTGTATATATTAAATTCTTGAAGTAAAATTACAAATTGCGGTTTTCATGTTCTTGACGATGTCTACATTTTTCTACATAAATCTAGGATCACTAATTTGTGACCCCAGCACTATCACTAGAGCACTGTTCAGTACAAACGTAATCTAGCCATTGTGACAATGCTTGTATATCAATTAAAGCTGACATGAATTCTTAAAAACGCAACTTTTTCATCTATGTACGACTTGTTTCATACCAACTATAGCCGTATTCCGCCATATTTCTTTCAGATACCTTGTCTTATTGTAACGATATATACCCCAATGCCCTCGTTACACTTGAATTATTTTTTGGCTTGGCTATCGACTTGTGCACATCTCCGATGGTAAAACATTTGAGAACACATGGGTTGATCAAGACATTTCAAAACCACAACAAACAACATAATAATCATATTTCTGAATAATTATTGATTTTAATCAAATGTAATAATTATAAAAAGAAAGAAAATGCAAGTTTGAAAGAAAGATTTAGTTGCAAGACAATGTATTTTCACAGGGCGCCAATTTATGCAGAATAAACTTGAAATAAAAAGCAGTAAAACCCGTAAACACACTTTGAAATTATTATCATTTGAATGGAACAAAACAACCAGCGTCTTTGATTTGCAAGTTTTATGCAGTTGATGCATGTCGAGAAAACGCGTCGAACGCTGTAAAAGTACCCATACCTGGTAATAAGATCACTGCATCGGTTCGAAGATGTGCACAAGTCAAGTGATATACACCCTGAATTCCATTTATTGAAATATGCATCACAAAAAAAGAAATAAACTCCATAAAAACTCAAAAGTAAACACACTGTTACTACTCCGTACAGTCTAGGGGGGGGGGGGCTAAAGTATAATTATAACGGCTTTATAAGGTATAACTGAAAATTGTCTATCTAGTTCTAATAACATTCTATTTATAGTCTGCAGTTGTTTTGCATCACAAAATTTTCATTTGTCAATTACAACTGATTATTTTAGTACTAATCTCAAATCTAAGCCAAGTAATTTGATATACGGTAATTATTTACTTCAAGACTTAAAAGCATTAAACCATGGCCAGTATACATAATTTCATGTGTACATCTGTACGTTCTTTAACACACACGCGGAAAAAAAAATCCCCTGTTTAGATTGACATTTAGGGGGGGGGGGGGGGGGAGGGGGCAGAAAGAATTGACATGACCATTACCTAAATATTTTAAGAAGACAGACATTTCTGCCTAATCCATTTTTGAGATTTTTTATTGTCTCACTCCGACCACAAATTATGTACATTTTTGCGGAATGTGGCTGTTTTATAATTATTACAGGAAGTCTTTCGAGATTTCAGTAATCAGTATCCCTGTCTGACAGTCTAGTTTTTTTTTTTAAATGAAAATAATTTCTGTTGCAATATTTGGGAGATATTTTTAAAAACTAGGGTAGGGATGCTTGAAACCTGGTTGAATACAGATAGGTTTTAATTACTCTTTTATTCATTGAACTCTCTCTCTCTCTCTCTCTCTCCTCCTGTAACCATCCGTAAGCGCAATAATAGATATAAAATCATATGCACTTTGTGCTGTACCATTTATCAGATCTTGGGACAGATCAAGGATTTTTTTTCAGGCGGGGATGTCGAAACTTGTCAGTTCAAAAATTAAAATACTAATTTTACTTTTGACAAAAAAATAAACCTAAATGCCGAAAATGAAAGGGAAATAAACATGAAATCTACATCATAGGAATGGGAACGTTAGCCGATGACTTCCAATTCTTCAAACCTTAGACTTTTCATACCAATTTAACACAAATTCGTGTTTACCTGGTAGTCTGCGTTTTCCGAGGGGATTCAAGGTAACTTTTTTCTTCCTTTAGTATATAAATTTAAAAACCTTGCAAATCGCAGGGGGGGGGGGGGGTCCTGACCCCCCTCTAGATCTGCGCATGGCACTCATGCATAGAATCACACCACGGCCACTTCAAATTATATTGAAGGGGGACCTCCAAAATTAGTTGACAAGGACACAAAACAAAACAAAACTAAAAAAACTATGCACCACACTCTAAAATCCTTTTTTTGGTAGGGGATAGAGGGGGGCTTCCTGTAACTTTTCTGTTTGATACATTACTTTTGAATGCTTGAATCTGCGTATTTTCCGGCAACAAAATATGTGGCGGGAGCTTCCAAATCAAAATATTATGTTTACAACTGCAGCAAAAGATTATCCTCAGAAAATTGAGCCCCCCCACATTATGAATAACATTAAACACTGTTTTCTGAGAAAATTGTGCTCGTTTATAAAGAAAAAAAAATAAAATATGCCCCCGGCCTAAATTCCCATACTTCACATTTATAGCAACCTACAATTTTTTGTTTAGTTTCTTATTCACGCATGCTTTATAGATCTACTGTTATGTATAAAATCACCTATATATTTTTGTGGTCTCTGTATACTGTTGTAAAATGGTGAAGAGATTCAAATAAATGATCGAAAAATGATTGCAGATACACGGAGGGAAGCAAATCCGCGAAAATCTACAGATCTAGCGAACAGAAAGGACAGAGATTTTTTATATTTCTTCAAATTATTAGACGTATAAATATCTATATTCTATATGACAGAAAAAAATTCTCTCTCTGTGTGTGTATGTGTGTACAAAAATAAAGGGGGTTCCAATCTCCGGAACCCCACCCCACCTCTGGATCCGCCAATGAATTCTATTTTGATCATTCATGTACCACAGAATCAAACTCGTTTATTGTGTATAAAATTATAAAACAAGTTTAAATCAAGTTATATTAAGTCTATATTTTAAAAAATAAAGCCAATACACAGTATTTAAAATGAAAATGTTTGATCGCAATGAAATCTGATCTTTTTAGAGAGCGTTATGCATTTTTTTTTATTACCCCCCCCCCCCCCCCTTTCACGGGAGAATCTCGTCAAAGGATAAATGATTCGTTTTGTTGCATGCTATAAAATAAATTTAATGTAGTTAAACCATGTTTATAAATTTTGTTTTCATTTACATATACAGACAAGAGTTGAAAAAAAAATTATTTGCGTTTTTTCAATCAACCAAAATACCAGTAAGTTTTCCACCTTTGAAATTTCCCCTAACCAAATAGACTGATCGTCATGGACCACGTGTGTCCAAGTGCTATGTGGTGACAATTTTATACTGTTCAGTTAGCAATGGATTACATGACTTCTGAGATGCATATTTCAATAAAAGTAAAATAGGATATTTCTTTCGACATGTGCACATCCCTGTAACGATAGCAGTATTCAGGTAAATGTCTTTATCACTGCGTTCGATGCGTATTCTCGACCTGCATGCGTGCATATCCAAACGGTTTTTGCTGTTTTCCGTTGTTTTTTCTTATTTGCAGCAAATGCATTCTAAAATAATTTACTTCTCAGTATAGTTCTAGTTTTTGTTGGATTTTAACTTTTAAAACATGTATTTGGTCAGTTTATGGATTTATGACAACTATGCTATCGGAGATGTGTACATGTCGACAGCCAGGCTAGAAAATCACTCAAGTGAAACAAATGTACCAGGCTTTATATAACAGGTACAGGTGGCCAAAAATTTTCAAGTAAATATGGCGGAATCAGAGAAATATGGCGGACAAAGGCGCACAGGAATGTAGTAAGTCGTACAAAGATGAAAAATGATGCCTTTTTAAGAGTTCATGTCAGCTTTAATATGAATCTATTTGTGAGTGGTCAATAAAACAAGTAAATCTCACCAAATCCCATGTCTTCATCAGACTCTGATTCTTCTTTCTTCTCCTCCTTCTTGGGAGCTATAAATAGAAATCACAAACTCCATTTAAATATACTGGCAATATCTTGTCACACACAGATTAAAACTGAACTCGGCTAATTAAGTTTCCTTTCAGAAGTATCCATTTCCCCACTGATTTCAATTTACTATTATCGGTCTTTTTTACTGATTTTCAATTTGATAATTTTTTTCCCTAAAGATCTGTTGTGAAATTGAAGCTGCACCAACTAAAATTATTTTTCCCTCGTAATACTGAATACTTTTACTGTAATACATTATACAAATGTAAAAAAAAAAATCATCCCCACTTTTATTTTCACCACTCTGCCCTATACACAGGTGGGAGAATTTAAACCCAGGTGAATTCAAAGAACAGGGTATAATTTCTTAAACAGATCTATGACTGTTACCTAACTTAGCTACCTGTATAAGGTAAGTAAATAGAGTAAACAGATGATTAATTTTCTAAGCTACCTATATAAGGTATACATGAAGTAAACAGATTTTTACCTTTCTTGTCATCAGCTGGGGCAGCAGCAGCAGCAGCTGGGGCGGCAGCAGGGGCAGCTCCGGCACCACTGGAAATGTTGGAGATCATCTCCTTAACATTGACACCATCCAAAGCCTTAGCAAACAGGGCTGTAATGCAGAAATTCATAAATCAATCATCTTTTATAAAATATCAGTTTTGTTCATACATTCTTGCAATGCCAGTATGGCTCAAGAGCTTAAATTCCTATCAACCTACACGGCCAGTAGGGTTCATCTGCATTTGAATTAAATATCTACTTTAATGCATCAAGATAGCTTGAATTCATATCTATACTTAAAAGGCCAGTACGATTCGACAGAGCTTGCAGAGATTTTAAACTACCCCGTGTAGGGCCGAATATGGACCCCATTCTCAATTGCAAAACTCCTCCCTTTTTCCCAAAAATGAACTGCCTATATTCAATTTTTGAAAGAACAAGAACTCAAGAAGGTTACCTGAACATAATTCACAAAATACAAACATACATGTTTAGGTTTGGAAATTTGAATGAAATTTGAATGAAATAAACAAAATTTTGAAGAATCTTGGGTAAAACTTTATTATAATGATCAATTCTCCAATTCATAGTTCTGAATAACTAAGTAAAGATCAATTTTTATTCATCTTAAGTATTTATTTCTTGAAAAACATCATACAATAAAATTTCCCAATAAGTGATAAAATGTCGTAAAATTCCCAATTCCAAGGGCCTGGGCCCCATTCCCAAAAGTGAGTGGAAAATCCCTGGCTTGAATTCAGTATGATCTATACATGTACTTACAAGGCCAGTATGGTTCAACTGAGACTCCAGCAGCCTTCAAGATGGTATTGATTTTCTCCCCCTGAGGAAAAAAAAAATTACTTCAGGGATTCTGGAATTACAGGATTCATACAATATCATTAAACTGCATTTCTTCTAGACATGTAATTCCCCTTTCAGTCTTGTGTACTTTCATTCTAAGAGTACTTGGTTGTATACATTTTGCTTTGAACCCAGCATAAAAATTATTGGAAATGTGACTGGTCCCATTTTAGTATGCTACTGATTCATGGAAAGTGATGAAAATCACAAATAAGGTCCTCATCCTAAGCTTCATTTGTCAAGTCCAATGAAGAACCAGTTATACAATGATTAACAGAAATATTTTAGAGCTGCCCTGAATCACTTGAGTATGATGGGAGATTGCAACAATACATTGGGTAGCTGGCTAGATGCACAATATGTTTTACAGAAGTTTCTCTACAAGTAGTCACTAGATGGTCACTTAAACTAATGTTTTGATTAAAATATCAAAGATTGTTGCACACTTATTGTTAAATACCATGTGGGTAGATTGAATTTCCTCTACATACCAAATGCTTTCGACAGTCGACACATAAATAGAATACTATGATCGACTTTTATACATCGCTTTTCCTCAGTTTCCACACTCTGTTATAAAAGCTCTGCTTTCTTGCGGTACCTTACAATGGGCAAAACATTAGAAACACCGAAACTCTTCAACCAATATATACACCTACATGTGAAAAGGGGGTTACTTACTGTGATCGCTACTTGATCGTCTGCGAGAATCAAAGCTGCATAAACGCAAGCAAGTTCGTCTGAAGAAGACATTGTTTTTACTTCTACTGATTTCGTTAATTGATGCCTAAGTATAACAGTGTAAGTCGCCGGATTGGCCTTAGCTCTTTTTGAGAACTGTACACTTTACGAAGGAAAATTGCGGAAGAGGCCGGAAGTAGATAAAAATTAAAGAATAGAAGTCAAGACTTCCAAATATTCACGAGGTCCTAGAAGATGTGTCCTAAGAAACATAATATAAAGCAAAATGCATAATTTGTATTTTGGTTAAAGGTTTCTGAATTAAATAAAATTGTATTCTCTTTGGTTTAGAGATTATATGAGGATTATACAATTTGAATCGGTATCGATTCATTCCGGCAAATAACTGTCAACATGAAAAACGTGTACATCTTTGTTTTGACAGTACTTTTTTCTCAAGTTGTGTCTGATTCGGACCATGGGGATGCAGTTATCAGTTACACATCAGAGAACTTTGATGACGCTTTAGACAAAGCTAAACATTTCGTTATGTTTTATGCTCCATGGTAAGATAAGCGTGATTCATTCGAATTTCCTCGGTTGAAATTACTATGTTGATTTTATCATGAGCTGAATATTTCATCTGCTTATTCATTTGAATTTTGACACAGAAAATTTATTCAGTGAAAGATATACTTACAAGTCACGTATGCCTCAAAATTGGTGATAATTTTTAGGAGAAATAAATTATTTTTCTTTTACACGCATCATCAAATATGTGAAAAAATTATGAACCATGTTTAAATATTTAAAGTAGTGTAGATTCTGATCCATTTTGGAATTTTATGGATAAATATCTACATTTTATAGAACTTAGAAGAATATGAATATAAGGTGCTCTCCATTAGTACATTTATGCTGTATCTACTGATATTTGTATTAACAGACTTTAAGAAAGGATTGTGCTGTACAATAAAACAAATGTATGTATATTCATTCGTCAGATAAACTGTTACTTGGATGAGCATTCTATGCAATATGGTCCATGCACTTTTTATATAAACGAAGATTAATGTGATGAATTACAGAAATCAAGCTTCTTTTTTTCAAATATATAGTCAGACAATACAACTAAGCAAGTTTCAATGAAACTAACAGAAAATGCTTATTTTGATACAAGTGTAAGTTTTTATGAAAATTTGTCCTATAATTAAAATGATAGTTAATATTAATTTTATTATCTTTATTATGTATTCTGATATATACTTGTAAATTATAAATAAATTTTAATTTATGGTAAATTAAATTAATGAAAAATCAAAACAGAACAGCTACACAAGAACTGCATGTATAAGGCACATATCATATAAAAAAACATCTATGATAGAGTTTACTAAAGATAAACCAAATCAACGCTGATTCGTAAAGCCTTTCATGAGTAGCCATGTTAACTTTAGATGAACTTATCAATGGATTTATATTACATTGTATGTGTATTACAGCCTTATACTTATAAGATAAAATATTATGCTACAGGTAGTTTTTTTTTTAATTCTTTAAAGTTATTTAGGCTCTTCTGACAATATATTGATTAAAACATCATTGAATCAAATCTTAGTAACACAGAATTTTAATGGGAATATACTCAGTAGAATAAATTGAAAGTGTTAATATGAGTGTGGGAGCTAGCCAGTAAGAATTGTTAAATTGTAAACTTAGATATATGGTATTGTGTTTACAAGTGTTCTACGAGTGGAGGAAAAAAACCCAATATCTTTAAACCTTTGTCAGTGGTATTGATCTTTACAGGAAAGGGATTAAATTTGTAACAGCTCCAGTTCTTTTAAATGTCCTTTTAAACTGTTTTAAGCCACTCGATCCTTAAATACTTTGAGTGCGTTATTGATTCTGAGAACTGTACATTATTTTCCTATGAATACGAGTGAAAGTGACATGACATAAATTAGGAATGAAGTCATTTAATTCCTATGAATGAAAAAAAAAATCCTCATGTACACATTTTAAGAGGGACACAATAGTGGACTAGTGCAGCCACTAACATATGGCATCCAAAACTAATGCCATTTCGAGACTGTTCAAGCCTTCTGCAAGAACTCTTTCGATAAAATTTAGTGGAACAAAAACAGTCAATATGTTACCTTTATGTAGGGTTTCATACTAAGTCAAATTCCCCCATCCTCACAATATGTCAGGGTCCTGTATAACCTCCAAACATGGTCATGGGACCCCTGACAAACTTTGTTCAATATTTTACAGGCTGACTGTAGCAATGTGGTTTGGGGAAAATTATAAATCTTGAATGTTTTTCTTATCTTTGGACAAATCACATTAAGCCTTTGATGTAAAACAACCTGAATCATATTTTTTCACATTTTATTACAATCTCTAACAGGTATATTTAAATTGTTTTGATTTCCAAATCTTTATTTTAATTCTCTGTAGCAAAAAAGGTGTGGGTTTTTTCATCTTTCATCATGCTCATTGTTTAATGCATAATGAAAAATCAAATTCGTGAAATCATGAATTTTTAGCTCACCTGAGCCGAAGGCTCAAGTGAGCTTTTCTGATCAAAATTTGTCCGTCGTCTGTCGTCGTTGTTGTCGTCGTTGTTGTCGTTGTCGTAAACTTTTCACATTTTCATCTTCTTCTCAAGAACCACTGGGCCAATTTCAACCAAACTTGGCACAGAGTATCCTTGGGTGAAGGGGATTCAAGTTTGCTCAAATGTAGGGCCACACCCTTTTCCAAGGGGAGATAATCATGAATTTGTTAAAAATTAATGGCATTTTTAAAAAATCTTCTTCTCCAGAACCGCTGGGCCAGGAAAGATGAAACTCATGTGGAATCATCCTCAGGTAGTGTAGATTCAAGTTTGTTCAAATCATGACCCCGGGGCAAGGGTGGGGCCAAAATGGCCGACCCAAGTTTTACATAGGAATATGTAGGAAAAATCTTTAAAAATCTTCTTCTCCAGAACCACTGGGCCAGGAAAGATGAAACTCATGTGGAATCATCCTCAGGTAGTGTAGATTCAAGTTTGTTCAAATCATGACCCCCGGGGCAAGAGTGGGGCCAAAATGGCCGACCCTAGTTTTACATAGGAATATATAGGATAAATCTTTAAAAATCTTCTTCTCCAGAACCACTGGGCCAGGAAAGATGAAACTCATGTGGAATCATCCTCAGGTAGTGTAGATTCAAGTTTGTTCAAATCATGACCCCCGGGGCAAGAGTGTGGCCAAAATGGCCGACCCAAGTTTTACATAGGAATATATAAGAAAAATCTTTAAAAATCTTCTTCTCCAGAACCACTGGGCCTGGAAAGATAAAATTCATGTGGAATCATCCTCAGGTAGTGTAGATTCAAGTTTGTTCAAATCATGACCCCCGGGGCTAGGGTGGGACCAAAAATGGCCGACCCAAGTTTTACATAGGCATATATAGGGAAACCTTTTAAAATCTTTTCAACAAGTACTTCAAAGCTATGATTAGTGATATTTATATGGAATCATCCTCAGGTAGTGTAGATTCTAATTTGTTCAAATGATGAACGCCTGGAGGGGGGGGGATAAATTCAAGCCCGATGTGCTCAGGTGAGTGCTGTGGCCCCTGGGCCTCTTGTTAGATTGTACTAGGAAATCTTTAGAGAAAAAATGGTACTTATCTTATTAAAATATTGCTCCTTCCTTAAAAAATTCAGAAAATGGCCCAATGACTTCTCAGTAATTTGATTCAGGTGAGCATTATGACCATAAACATTTTGGTGTAATCACAGGCACCTGACGCTACTTATTTTTCTTTTAATAAAAAAATATTCCCCCACCTAATAATTAGTAACGTCAGGTGCCTGTGGGTTTAATGTACTGTTTTATGTCTCTAGAAAATCAAGTATGGTATAACTATTTCTTTTCTTTACAGGTGTGGACATTGTAAGAGATTGTCCCCTACATGGAACGAGTTAGCTAAGTTATACAACCCCATGATAGATCAACCACTTATTATTGCTAAGGTAACACACTCTGAAGCATAAAACATGTAAATACATATAATATACACATAATCTCATTTAAGGACAGATGATACAAACAAATATTTGTCAAAAGCTATGAAATTAACAACCTGAGTCATGTTTAATTAAGTAAAATGAATATCTTTCACCGTGTAGTTTTTAATTTTTTATTCAAATTTGCTCAAAAATGGAATCTGAAGTGAAAAATATTTGTATAGATTAATATGGATGGTTTCAGAAGGGCAGACTTTTGAACAATTCACACAGGGTTTACAATTTCTTTATATTCTAGAAATTTATTATTTGCATCATTTGCAATAAAATTAGGCCAAAAAATATATACCAATCCAGGCATCCATTTTTAGCTCTACTGGTCAGAGACCAGAAGAGCTTATGCGATAGTAATGCGTCCGGCGTCCGTCCATCTGTCTGTCTGTCTGTCCGTCTGTCTGTAAACAATTTTTCAAAACGCTACTCCTCCTACAGTTTTGGTCTGATTTCAAAGGAACTTGGCAGACAAGTAGACTACACTAAGATACATAGAATAGCTAGTGCATCAATTTTTGATTTCGATAAACGGTGTTGCCATGGTTACTAAAAATAGAATTTTCTGTGAAATTCCTTTAAAACACTACTCCTCCTACAGTTTTGATCTGATTTCAATATAACTTGGCACGCAAGTAGACTAAACTAACATACATAAAATAGTGCATCGATTTTTGATTTCGATGAACGGTGCTGCCTTGGTTACTAAAAATAGAATTTTCTGTGAAATTCCTTTAAAAAGCTACTCCTTCTACATTTTTGGTCTGATTTCAATATTACTTGGCACTCAAGTAGACTACACTAAGATACATAAAATAGTGCATCGGTTTTTGATTTCGATGAACGGTGTTGCCGTGGTTACTAAAAATAGAATTTTCTTTGAAATTCCTTTAAAACGCTACTCCTTCTTCATTTTTGGTCTGATTTCAATATTACTTGGCACACAAGTAGACTACACTAAGATACATTAAATAGTGCATCGGTTTTTGATTTCGATGAACGATGTTGCTGTGGTTACTAAAAATAGAATTTTCTGTGAAATTCCTTTAAAACGCTACTCTTTCTTCATTTTTGGTCTGATTTCAATATTACTTGGCACTCAAATAGACTACACTAAGATACATGAAATAGTGCATCAGTTTTTGATTTCGATGAACGGTGTTGTTGTGGTTACTAAAAATAGAATTTTCTGTAAAATTCCTTTAAAATGCTACTCCTCCTACAATTTTGGTCTGGTTACAATATACCTTGGCACACAAGTAGACTACACAAAGATACATAAATTAGTGCATCAGTTTTTTGATTTCGATGAACGGTGTTTCCATTGCTACTAAAAATAGAAATGTCTGTGAAATTCCTTTAAAACGCTACTCCTTCTAAAGTTTTGGTCTGATGGCAATGGCTCCTTTTTACTCATCCTTTGTTATAAGTACAAACCAGTAGAGCTTCAGTCTAGACAGAGACTTCTGGTTTTGTTTGTATCATCTGTCCTTAAGCAACATAAACACAATTTTATGAATACAAATATATGTCATCTACAAGATGAAAAATTTTGTTGAATGAGAATGTTGATAATTGAAAATCGATGTTTTTTAACGAACTGAACACTGGAATTTGTTATTCAGGTGGATTGTACAGTAGAAACTGCTCTTTGTGCCAAACATGAAATCACAGGATACCCCACTCTGAAGTTCTTCCCTGACAGATATTCTGAAGTTGTACGCTACAAGTCAGCAAGAGATCTGCAGTCCCTTCAGACTTTCATTGAGGAACAGCTGTCAAATGTAAAGTAGACCTTGTTATGTACCAAATTGAATTACTTAAAGCAGCAAAACATAAGAATGGAGACATGTTTTCAGTCTGTTCCTCCTGACCTGTGTTTTGTCTTTGGGACAGGCTCCAGAACAGACAGAGGAGAAGAATCAGCCGTCGTCAGGACTGTTTGATCTGACCGACGACTCCTTCCCTAAACACATAGAGAGAGGGAGCCACTTCATCAAGTTCTACGCTCCGTGGTGCGGTCACTGTAAGCGACTGGCCCCCACCTGGGAGGAACTGGCCATGCATTACCTGGGGCAGGAAGAGGTGTCTGTGGCTAAGGTACAGGATACTGTATACAGGGTTAATTACACTTGTTGTGCTTGCTTTTCACACTTACAAACGATTTTGTCTTGTTCTGCCCAGACACAGTTGTTTTTAGAAATAACCTTGTCTTTTTATTATTCATGCCATTTTAAATTCATTCACTTGCAGTGAGGATGAAAGGAATAAAATAAACGAGGGAAACTGTGCATATTCGAAACTGCATCTGTTGTGGTATGACCAATCTTTTTATGATTATTTTATAGGTGGACTGTACTGTACATAGGGCTACGTGTGATTCCTATGGAGTCCGGAGTTATCCCACCCTGTATTTCTTTAGGAATGGAGAAAAGGTTTGTGTTAAAGATTTAAAAAGAAGTGTTGAAAATTATAGCTATTCTTCATCAGAGTATCCATTTAGTCAAATGCTGCTATTAAAACAAGAAAAGATTTCAACCTAGCTTGATTACAATTATCTTGTTTACATTTAGCTTGTTTACAGTTAGCCTGTTTACAGCTTGTTTACAGTTAGTTTGTGTACAGTTAGCTTGTTTCCATTTGGTTTAAAGTTAGCTTGTTTACAGTTTTTTATTTACAGATACAATGTAGTTTGTTTACACTTAGTTGTTTACAGTTATCTTGTTTACAGCTTATTTACAGTTAACTTGTTTATAGCTTGTTTACTTTTAGCTTATTTATAGCTTGTTTACAGTATTTCTGTTTTGATTTACAGGTGGATGAGTACCAGGGAGGTAGGAGCCTGGAAGATCTACTGAACTATATGGAGATCCAGCTCTCTGCGAAGAATGAAAATGCTGATCGCACTGACGAGAAAATTCCCGACGCCATACCAGAAGAAAAGGAACAGGAACAGGAGGAAAACCTGGTACAGTTAACACACCCAATCAATTCTAAGCTCATTTTGTTACTTGATCCCAGTAGTAGGATAGGTATACTGTATTGGAATTCTTTTGCTTTTTATCTTACAGCCAATATCAGTCCTGACAATAATTCAATACAATTGATATTCCCCCCTCTCAAAAAAAAAAATTAAATTAAAACAAAAAGAATAAGCAGTTGGGACTTTTAACTTACTTCAAAATATCTAAAGTGTTTTCAGATATAGAAGTTCTAAAGTTCCAGATGTCAAACTAAAGTTCCAGATGTCAAAGTTACCCCCCTTCAAAAAAATTAAATTAAAACAAAAAGAATAAGCGGTTGGGACTTTTAACTTACTTCAAAATATGTAAAAGTGTTTATGTTATATTAAATTTTCCTTTATTTCTTTATAGGAAGCTGTCTTTGAGTTGGAAGCTGACAGTTTTACAGGGGGAATCAGTGAGGGACTTGTCTTTGTCAAGTTTTATGCACCATGGTAATATTTTACTCACTGTTGTTCATAGCGTACAGATTTCTCTGCAGGATCCCTAAATTATTGATTTTGATGCATCGCCTGTTGGAAATACATGTACCGGGTATTCTGCACAGAAATGAAGAATTTAAAATAAAGTGAATTAGAACCTCCCACTATAAAGAAACCTTTCATTATTATCTGTATGTACAGGTGTGGTCACTGTCAGAGACTGGCCCCCACATGGAAGGAGCTGTCCAAGGAGATGGCCCGCTACCCTGTGGTCACCATCGCTAAGGTGGACTGCACCGTCAGTACGAACATCTGTAAGGAGAATGGGGTCAGTAGTCATATTCCGTAGGCCAAGGTTTACTCTAGAGTACTGTATCTGCCAAGACATGTATGCCTAATTGTAAAAAGAGTTTTTAAATGTTTTGGAAGAAGTGTACACATTTTTTGCCCCTTACTAATTAAAACTTTTATCAAACTCAAAAGTGTTCTTCTGCACTGGGCATGGTGAGCAGGGGAATTAATTTAATTTAAGAATTTCCCAATAAAAAAATATTAAATACAGTGTATTTAGATTTTTCAGCAATAACTGTATTTTGTTTTGGAAAGAGTTGAAAGAAGAGTCTGTTAAAGTGGAAAGTCATTTTCCAAAATATGATACCAATTTTCACATAAATTACATATTAAGTTTAAATTTATTAAAATAGATAAAACTATCTAAGACAGTCGCAGATAGAATATAGCTGATTGAACAAATCAAATCTTTCATTTCAAATTTAGGTCAGAGGATACCCGACACTGATTCTCTTCAAGGATGGACAGAAAGTAGCAGAATACACAGGAAGTCGTGACCTTGGTGACCTTGTGGAGTTCATGCTTGAGCACATCCAACAGGAAGTCCATGATGAGCTGTAACCATAGCAATCTGATCAAATTATTAATGATTTAGACTGTGAATGAAACCTGCTGAAATTTTCTTTTCTCTTTGATAGGAAGACAGATATATTAGTCCCACTTTTTATCAATTTTTGTTTTATGTTTTTCCGTCCAGTTTATATCAGGGTGGGTAAATACTGGTGGAATTCCCTCATTCATACATGGAAATTAATCAGTCAGTTTGTATTCTGAAGATCAGAGATATTTTCTTAGATTGATCTGGTCAAATATTTTTAAGTAAAAAAGATAAATTCATTTGTCTTTTTATGACTTTCAAGTATCGTATGCACTTTGTAGATATGTAAATTTTTAAGGAAAAAGTTTTTTTGATGAGTAAAATGCAGTCGTTGTCCTGTAAATTTAGTCCTTGTGACCATTAGGACTGCAATGACAATGTTTTTCTGATTGAATTTAGCTGCCTCTTTGAACATTTTACATTTGTCAGATGTATTTAAAATTGTGTTCTTTAGTGAGTGAAAGATATTACTACATGTAGTTCTTTGGTAATTGCTGATTGTGATGGAAGAGTGCTTTTATGATCTTTGAATATTCTTGTAAGCATTTTATGCATGCTGAGTCCTCCATTGTACTAAGAGCCTTTTCTAGAGAGGGTTGGGGTAAAGTGAACAGCTGAGAATCAGATTCATCATTATAGTACAGTATCACCAAATAACGCTTTATGTCACACATGTAAAAGAATCTGTCCCTTTGAATAGTGCAGAAGATGTTGTGTCCGAGTACCTACCCGTTCATAGTATAGAGACGGAAATTAAGTATATAATTATACACAGATTATATTTCTTATGAATTTGATCTATTTTGATTACCTTGGTAGATTGTGTATATTTAGCTCCAATTGCATACATGTACATGTATTTGTGTTCGGTAAAAAAGGTTGTGTGTCATGCTGCTTGGGATTTTTGTCATCATACCATGTAATGTACCAGCATTTAGTGTACTGGGTATATCACAAGTATTTATGTAATGAAGTTATAAACATCTACTTATATGAGACATATGATATTCAATTTGATCAAATTCAGTACATACACAACCAAGAGTTATAAAATGTTACTTATGGAAAATACACATGTATACAAATATCAACTGTGAATGGTTCATGAGCCATTGAAATGGATCAACAGAGTAACTAATGTAAAAGGATTTGTGTATATGTTTAGGCACAACAAAGATCTGTTTTTCTTACCTCATTTATAGCCTTTTGTTCATTAAATTTAAATGTATTCACATTTAACTTTATAAAACTTATTTTGAACACCGTTATCAATCAAAAATTGTTTTTGTCTATACCTTCATTCAACACCTTGTGAATATATATTCGAACAGTCACCTAACAATCATTTGTAAAATAGAGGATACGCGTTTTTACCGTTGATGTGTGCGAAATGTGTGTCACAGAAGTCCTTTTCAAAGTATGTATTTTATGTCATGTCATATTTCTTTTCATGTATACGTGAAAGGTATTTCTTTTTCTCCTTTATTATTGATCAAATTTTGACACAGAACATCCTGTACTGTATAGTTGGTGTGTGGCGTGATTGATTTCATAAAATATATCACTAGTTTGCCTCAAATTTTATATTTATTTTAAATCATTATGGTGTAAGCTTTTCAACAATTGTTTGTGCAGATTTTTTTTTTCATTTGCCTGTAAAGCATGTACTGTACAGAAGTCATACTGCGCATTGTTTATTCCACTTTGTATTTATCAAAAGTGACTTATAAATTAATATTAGTGTTGTCAAATCGGACATAAATTTATATACTAAAGAGGGATTAATTCTTAGAACATGGTCAATAGCATATGAATATTCTATCGTTGTTAAAAATTGCATCCATATGTTTAATGCAAACTGATTTGAAATCAATTGATAAATATGTTTATTGGAAATTAACTTCATGAAATAATTGCATTTTGACTTTAGAATTATGTTGTGTGGAACTTCAAGTGATGTATAATCAATAAAAAGAGTAGATATTTAATTGGATTTTTTATATACACTGCTGGTTTTGCCAAAAGATGTACAAGTATTTAAAGGTAGCTGAAAATGTTCAATAGTTTGCGATGCATGATACACAGTAAAGACAATGGGTGGGAATGGAGAGTATCAGGTCACCTGACTGGTGTGTCCTACAGGGGACAGCCATCTTCAAATTTCACAACATTTTAGATGTTAATAAAATGTTAAACCTAGAATATATTTATAGTTATACATACTCTTGGAAATATTGATTATAAAATTGATTGGTATACTGAGTCCTGTAGGATATAAAAAAGCAGGCCTGGACTATATTTGCTTCAGAGAAATGCAGTGACCTGAACTCCATTGAAAAGACAATGTCTGATACATTAACAGAACCTATGTTGCATAGTTTACCTCTGGCTGTACAAACATTGACATAATTGTATCTTTTGTTGCGGGCTCAGGTGTAAAAACTCCCTAAAATTACAACTCAAAAATAATTGCGAGTACCCAAATAATGAACAATTTCAAAAGACAACTTACAATTTTAAAATGAATGCTTTCTAAAAATAAACCACCATCTATCCATCTTTAAAAATCTTCGTAATCTTCAACATGATCATTGTATATGGCACAGCTCGTTCATTTATAAATGGCAGATATAAACAATAACTAAAGAAAGTAAGACTTAAGTCAGATTGAAAGTGATATTTTTTCGGGGTGGAATTTACTATGAAAAAATCAATTCGCAAATTTTTGTGAGTTGCAGAATTTTAGACGTGCAATTTGGATATTCTAACATGCATTTTGTGAGTTGTATATAGTGAGTTTGGAACCCTGGGGCCTGTTTTCTTTTCTTCTTTTGTCATTACAATCTTATCCAAGAGAATGAAAGAAAAAAGACAAAATAAGAAATAAATAGTTCATTTATTCATAAACAGGTCTAAAAATGGTCACAATTTGGACGGAAATCTCACAATAAACATCAGATCATCTGTACTCAAAAACAAGCATGTAGAAGAGTGTCTGAATGAAGGAGAACAGCTAGCCTGATACACAGGTATTCCTTGGGAGCTTGACTTCTACACAGGGGTGTGGCAGAGGGGACAGGTTTGTCGGTGAGATATCTCGGACTCGAAGGCTCGGTGTTTACACGCGCTACACATCCAGAACTGGTACTCCATCAGTGGACGACCAGTTACTATACAGGTCGGAAACTTGGTATCACAGTTTGGACAGGAGAAAGCACTGTATTACAAAAGATGGAATAATCATTATGCCATAAAATAATCCTCCTAGTAAATATTTCTTTTAAGCAAAGTGCAACTGAATGACAGAGAAATCTCACAGCATACAATTTTTTTATTCTTATTATGATTTATGATATGTGAAATTGTATCTGGAATACTTATATCATGCTTATGTGATTAGAATACTTGTGTAAAACTTACGTGTCTGGAATGCTGGTTGCACAACTTGAACACTCCACCTTGTTGTTCCGGCTGTCACGAGGGCCATGTCTAATAAAAATTATTTTCATTAAGAATTTCAAAAGTAAATTTCCTCAGTTCTTCTTTTAATGTACAAGTGAAATAAATGACAACATACTTTGTGAATATTTCCAGAGCCAGTTCCTCATAAGATGACCTTTGTTCTGGGGTCAGAGATTCCAGGGTCTCCAGTTTAATGAAGGCTTTAGAGCAGGTTCCAAAAGCCTTACAAGCACTGGCCGCCAATGCTTCAAACATAAACATTCAATGTTAAAGACATGAAAAATTTAATTTGTTCTTTTCTCTTAAAGAAATAAAAATCAGTTGAAATTGATAGATAATAAAGTACATGTACATAAATAAGAAAACAGTTACCTAATAAAGAATAGATATCACATGGATCTATAATGTCTTCATAATCTCTGAGGAATAAACAGGTCCTCATAGAAGCCTCAACATAACCTAAAATATGGAGAAAGAAACATCAGTTCTAAAAACCTGATCAGATGATAAGAAATCATTTAGGCTGCTAAATCAAAGATTTTCCAAAGACTTTAAACATGTATAGACTTGCTGGCCTGACCTTCGTAGAGCTGTCTCTGAGCCAGTAGGTAGAAGTGGTAGGCCTCGGCTCCTCTCCAGGCATTGTCTATAAGTTTACTGTCACTGATAGCCGTGGCATCTTCCTCTAAAAAGCCAGCTAGTGCTGAGGCAGCCTAAAAAATATAACATGTACAATAAAGCACTGTTTGAATGCATTGTGTAGTTTCTCACTGATACAAACTCAATACATATTAAAGCAAGAAACTGCTTTTTTGATCTGAGAATACAGAATATCTCATTGATTTCCAGAATGAACATAGAGTATTTACCATTCTTTTGTCCTTCACCTTTGACCTAGATGTCATCTTCATTTGTTCATGATACTGTTCTATCAAGAGGCCACCAAGGACATACATTTTCTTTATCAAGATAGGCTTGGCTTTCTTCTTCACTTGTTCATTGGCCATCTGCATAAGTCAAGGTTTCAGTTTCGTACATGTAGTTAAACAGGTCTATTCCAAACATAATAGTAAATTCAAAACAAGGTCATATTTGGTCACCAGTAGTAAAATTAAGTAATAGTAAAATATTAAATGAAATTAAAACAATGAATTAAATTTAACCAGACAAAATGGCGATCAGCAGAGGCTAATTATTTCCTTGCTTTCCTAATATGTCATTAACGTTACTATAATTAACCAGCAACACTATAGAGAGAATTCATGACATACCTTAAACAAGAGCTTGGCAGCATTAAGGAAGTGGCCGGCCTTACGATACAGCTCTATGGCGCTGACTATCTTGTTCTTCTCCAGGAGATGTGAGGCGTACTTAGCTAACAGGGAGTCTATTTCCCGGACATTGTGGGTCTTAGCCAGCTCTATAGCCGTGTTCCACTGATTCAGATCCACACAGCTGTCTATGGCCTTCTTTATGTGGTTACACTACAATAAACAGATTTATAAGGCTAGAGAATATGCTGATTAACTCCCTATACTTGTGTTACATGTCATGATTTATTAAAGACATTCATTCACTGTCACAGTAATAGTATAACCTTCATCAAACTTTTTCCTCATGAATGCTGAATATTAATGGGTTCTTATTTTCGTTATGTAGATGCACTTGCAAGCCCTAAGTTCAAAGCCAAGTCAGAAAAAAGTGCTTAAAATCTCATAGTAGAATACCTAAAGAATTTGAATTTTATTGAAGGGGAAGGTTGGGGGGGGTGGAATACCTACCCTTGTGAAGGCTGCAACAGCTTGTTCACACATCCCCACAGTGGTAAACATCTCAGCAATTTCCTACAAAAACAACGCATCATGAAAATCTTGTGGGACAAAGCACAATACCCGATGTAAAATTGAACATAAAATCCCTATAGTAAAGACATAACTTACAGGCAGTAGCTTGTGGTTCTCTGGCAGGGCCTGCACCATTTTCTCCAGACCGCCATAGTCCTCCAGTGTATAATAACACTCAGCCAGTCTCTCCTGATTCCTCCCCTGGACGTAGTAGGTCACGGCCTGCTGCCTGTCATCAGAGTACAATACGGTATTTTAATAGTTAATGTATGTATAATGAATTTTTTTCTCAGCTGAGTTAATGGAACAAAATGCAGAGAAAGGACATTACATTACACAAACATGTACCTAACATAAAATGTATATACAGTATAAAACTTGGATCTAAAATAACTTTGCTTTATCCGTGAATTCGCAATATCCATGTTCGTACTAACTACTATATGAGTTTTACTGTACATTAAATAAACTTGCATATTTTACAGTTCTCAAGATTCAATGAATTGAATCAAACCTATTCCAGGGCTCTCGATTCTCTATAATTGGGGCCGTTTATGGGCCCCATTCCCAATTCAAAAAAGGTACCTTTTTTCCCAATAGAATGTGGTTTTTTCCCCAAAAGTCATTTCTCCAAAAAATTAAAGAAAATATAGCTGGATATGTAATTATAAAATTGTTTTTCACATTCCTCTGTATTGCTAAACAATATAATTTAGTTGATAACAAAGATCAGAAACCCAGTATATCATGTTTTTAAAGAATAATGGTTATCCCCAAATTTCCCAAAATGTCGCTATTTTTCCCAATTTTGACGGACCTGGACCCATTCCCAAAAAGTGGTGTGAGAGCCCTGTATTCTCCCTGACTTGTTATAATGTAGACGCACCATTTTTGTCGGTCGGCGTAATAATCCCCGATGGCGTTCCAGGCCTCCTCTAGCTGTACGTCATCTCCCCCTGATCCTGTCTTCAGTAGCTGGACCACGCGGAACCAGTCACCCAACTTCTTCCTCAAACTCACCGCCAGGTCTCTGGAAGAATTCAATAACTCACTTCTAGCTACAGTCTACTTGTTTAAAACTAAGCCATACAGGGCAAGATATAAGGAAAAGATACATTATTTCTACATCTTGTTACGTTAAACTGGCAAAATTCTTCATATTTTAAAGACTTGTATGAAATATCTGAATTTTTGCACTGTGGATGTGATGTTTATTCATTACGTCTGTGATTTTCATGTCTGAATACATACCTTCTGTCCATATCTAAATACTTTCTCTCAGCTTCCTCAAATCTTCTGAAGTAAGCACATACTTCTGCTTTCTTCATGTTTTCATTCTGAAAAATTGAATTTCCAATTGATAAGATTAATAACAAAATTATCTTTCCATAGAATAAATGCACGAGGAGAGACAAAATCATAAAACTTGATCTCTCTAGAAACCCATTGAAAAGAGAGTGACATTCCTTGATGCCTCAAGACATTACATATACTGGATCAGTTTACCTGTAAATTCCCGAGCCTTTTGACGAATTCAATCCCCTGATAATCCTTACATCTGACAAATGCTTGTTCTGCGACCTTCAGATTCAGTTGTTCTAGGGCAGACTCGGCTAGCAGTCGCCTGTTGTAGAAAACATTTACTGTAAACCAACTTTTATTCGCGACGACTTTATTTCGCG